GGCGGCAGCGAGGCCTCTCCTCCCCGCCCGCCCTACCTCCCGCCTGCCCTACCTACCCAGCCGGCCTGTCTGTCTGTCGGCTCCGGGGAGGAGGCGGCAGCGGTGGCAGCGAGGCCTCCGGCGGCAGCGTTAGCAGAGCGTCTCCTGCGCACATCCCCCCGAATTTTTTTTTAACTTTTTTTATTTTTGTGCACACGTGGGGACTGGCCCACATGTGCACAAACCTTCCCCGGCCCCCCAGCTGCCCCCTCCGTGCTGATTTAAGTATCCGCACGGAGGGGGCAACTAGGCTATTAGTATAAGGATGAAAAAATTCAAAGGCACTTAAATGCCAAATTAATTACCCCAATCCACGGTGTAGAAGTACAGCAGGGGGTCACATACCTGAGGATGTGCTTTGGAAGTCCCCCTCTGATAGATTATGTGGATAGATTTGCCTACACACACACACACACTGCTACAACCACCCTTTGTGCATGAAGCAAAGTTGCATGCTTTCATGCTACTTAGGTAGTGCAGGAAATGGTCTTGAAAAGAGCAGTACAAACTTGCACAGGGATTTGCCCAAGAATGCAAGGGGACAAGGCACTGTTTTGACTATGACTTCATGCTAGCCCTGCTGTAACCACCTCTGCTTTGCTACTGAAGTTACTGGAGATCTTCATGGGAATTAACATAGTCCCTATGTAGTTTAGAAATGGTGTGCACCCAATCATCACACCAAGCACCTCAGCAAATTGGCTTTTTGCAGACACCCTGTTAAATAGCAAGTGTGAACAACAGAGGAATGAAATACTTAACTCCAGGGCTTTTTTTTGTAGAAAAAGCCCAGTAGGAACTCATTAGCATAATAGGCCACACCCAACATCAGAAACTCATTAGCATATTAGGCCACACCCCCTGGCAGCACAGCTGATGGCATATTAGGCCACACCCCCATGCCTTCCCTTGGCTTGCCCAGGCAAGCCAGCCCTTGGACAGGCCGGGGGAGGCATTTAAATGTCTCCCCAATCCTTCCAGCCACCCCTCGGCCCACCCACCTCAAAGTCACCTGGGGGGGCTTGCTCTCCAGGCCTTCCCTCTGTAGCTACACATGCAGAGGTTTTGGCTGTAGTGGGTGTGGCCAACTCTGAAGCCAGCCAGAACGCCATTCCTGTGCGTTCCTGCCCAAAAATAGCCCTGCTTAACTCTGTAGTTAAAACTGAATATGCACCAGGCTGTATTCGTAGCCATTTAAAATGACAGTGTAAACTTAAGCAATGCTAGAAATTGAAATAGAAGCATACTAGAATATAGGTAATCATAGTGCCATCATCACTCTTCTTCTTCCCACAGAAGCTGGAAGTGAAACAGAAAGTAATGTGGACTCTGAATTTGGTCGGACTCATTTTGATGACCTTGTTCCATCACCAACTTCTGAAAAGGCTTTCCTTGCACAGATCCATGCCCGGAAGCCAGGATACCTTCACAGTGCAGCGGCCACCGGGACCATGCGCAGTGATATGTGGGTACCCGCTATCTTTTTTCCTTCTTCTTACATATTGTCTCCAGTAAAGTTCTGAAGCTAAATGGAGATGTTTTGTGTACATGAACGCTTAAATTGAAATGAAACCAAGAATAGCAATCTGAATGTAACCCCCCCACACACACACACACACATTTAAAATGGTAGGAGAAACAGTTGTACAATGTTTTTAACTTGGAAATTTAGCATGGAATATTTACCACACCGCCAATAGAAATTCAACTTGTTTTCAGTGCAAACCTTTGCAGGTAGATTAATTTGGTAGCTGCCAACCTTAAACAGTGGAAAGGATCATCCCCATTTGATAGGATAGAAATATTCCTACATTTTGATCCTTGGGATGGAAAGATGATGGTGTCTTCTGCTGAATATTGTTCATGAAATAATAAAGTCTTACCATGATTTTAGATGTAAAGTGCATAGAATTGCAGGTTTGAGCACATGACAAGGTCCCCTCTTGCCCTTACAAATTGACTAGGATTGGTGCAACATGAGGTGAGATCACTAATGGGAGTCACATGAACACATGAAACTGCCTTATACTGAATCACACCATCAGTCCATCAAAGTCAGTATTGTCTACACAGACTGGCAGCAGCTCTCCAAGGTCTCAGGCAGAAGTCATTTGAATTTACATCCTGCTGAAAATGTCTGCTGACAGAAGGATTTCTGCTGGCAGAGCATAACTTTCTTGTCTCCTCCCCTTCCTGCTGCAGCCTAAAATGTCCCCCCAAAATGCTGCCTCTGGGAGACAGGGCCCCCCCAGAATAGCATGAAGTGGGAATCGGTCCACTGCAGGAAGGGGGAATCAGTGAAAATTCCCCCTTTCCATCAGTGGAAATCCTCCATGGGATCAAAGGTGTTAACAGGAACCACTCAACTAATGCCACATAACCAAAACGACTTTGGGATTTGTCTTTCTCAAAATGCAGCCCCTAGGCCACATGGCAAACTGTTTCTGAAACTGGGGAAACTTTTAAATGCAGTTAGAAATGCAGCATGGAAGTATACAGTTGAAAGAAAAAGTCAGAAATTCAACTTTTTAGAATTACTTTTTATCTTTGCCTTTTATGGTAATATTAAATAGCCAGATTTTCTGCAGATGGCTCCGCTGTTGGAGATCAGGAGTGCTGGTTCATTACTTTCATACCACATAAGCCAGTGCATTATTTTCTCTTGGTTCTTTCTAGTTCATATGTTTGACAGTGACCAGCATGAGCTGTTCAGTATGCATGTATCCACTCACTGTGTTTTCCAGGGAAAGTAGTAATTGTCTTTCCTCAAGACACTTCTTGTGTTGTGAGTTGTGCATCCAAGAGCCAGAAAGCACACATGGGTAGAGTCCTTCCTGGACTGTACCACTTCAGACTACAAGTGTTGGACATTGTGTTTTTCAATGCTCCACATGTTAAAGAATATGCTCTCTGCATTTAGTAACCTAACATGTTAGGAAAAGAGCTATGCTAGAATTTCTCTCTGTCATCTGGTGGTTTTTCCAGAGCAGGGAATTCTTTCCATGAGAGAGCATTCACAGTCCAAAAGAGCCCTCCCAGTTAATTTTATAGAACATGTTGGTAGACTCCAAAATTCATTGCAAGGGGTGATTATAGCCATATGGAAGAGGAAATGTGACAGAAGAGATGACAGAAAACCACATCTCTGAAGGGAAGTGTGCTTGTCCCTCTCTGTGTGTAATATGTAGTTCAAAGAAAAAGCATAGTAATGACCTTGCCTCTCAAAACTTCCTGGGAGCTATTTATTCATAATTGTCTTTAGGGTTACAGAAGATAGAGACCCCTACGTTAGAGCAGATGATGAGAACTATGAAAATGATTCTGTGCGCCAGCTAGAGAATGAGCTCAAGATGGAGGAATATTTGAAACAAAAGCTGCAGGATGAAGCTTATCAGGTAATACATTCACAACAAAATTATCTACATTAAATTGAAACCAATGAGCTGCCCTGTGATAGATTTTCTTCTTGTTGGATCACAGCTATATTAAATAGGTGTCAGTTTCCAGATAATACTGAAATCCACTTATTTTTCTGTGTAGGTTTGCAGGACGTCTTGTTGACTTATGGGGTGGGGGGGGGGGTCCAAACAAAACAGCTGTGTAATACCAAAGCCAGCAGCAGTACCACCAGCCCAGATAGCTGGTACAAGAAAGAGAGGGGAAGGAGGACTTCATCAGCTATATTAAATAGGTGTCAGTTTCCAGATAATACTGAAATCCACTTATCTTTCTGCGTAAGTTTGCAGGAAGTCTTGTTGACTTATGTGGTGGGGGGGTCCAAACAAAACAGCTGTGTAATACCAAAGCCAGCAGCAGTACCACCAGGCCAGATAGCTGGTACAAGAAAGAGAGGGGGAGTTCATCTCTCCTCCCCCTCCTTCTGACCTCCGTGGATTCTAATCTCCATGTCATTACATTTTTAGTTGAGAATAATAATGGTATTGACTAAAATGGATTTTTGCCCTTCATTTCATTGTTTTATTAGTCAACATCCAGCTGTGTATAACTACTAAGGATTCTTCTCAGGGTCAGCTTGTTTTGATTTAAAAAATTCTTTGGATTGTTGCATCATGAGTTCTGGGGCTTTCATCACTTTGGTAGTCATTTCGATGGGGAATATACTTGTAACTTCATTCCTTAGACTTCGGTGAAATTCTTGAGGGACTGTATCACCCAAGGGTATCTCCCTCCCACACTCCAATCAGATAGGTTAAAGAGCTCTTGTTCAAAATGCAAAGAAAGGCACAACACATTTTCAGCTCTACCCCACCCCCATGTCCAATCCAGCTCTTTGGGGCATTATTGGGATGGGGCAAGAGGACAGGTCCTTTTCTCCCATCCTCTGATTGATTAGTACCTTACAGCTTCTGCCTTCGTTTCACTTTAGCCAGTTTGCCAGCTTCTCTCATCTTGTTCCAGTGTGGTTCTGAGACCGTATTCTCAACCTCCCTTTTGAGCTTCTGGGCACTGCCTCCTTAAAGATCATCACTCAACACTCTTTTCCTACCAGCTATATTATCTGCCAACAGAGTTTATGAGACTGGAGTGCCCTTGGTGAAGTCTGCATTTTTAATGGCATAAAATCTCTCTGAGCCTTCATTTCCAAGATTAGCATAGGATCTTATTCTGCTGTCCACCTGCTCACACCAATGTGTAGCCCAAGGAGAGAGAATGGCATTCCGTGGTGATCTAGGCCTTGACGTTTTACAGCATCTTCACCAAGCCACACATAAAACAGTGGCGTTTCTTTATCTCTTTCCATCCCTTCTCTCTAGGGAAGAAGGTATCTACATCTCCTCAAATAGTTGAGGGACAGTATAACCTTGGCCTATATAATCTTCTAGATTGCCTGTCCCTGGAGGGCATGCTTGCCCATTCCATCAGGGGAGCATCTGCGTCTTACCCACTAACTTGGAGGCCAAGTTGAGTGCAGATCCGGTACCTGCAGTATCAGAAGCATGTGATTGTCCTTCTGTTATAGACATTTTCAGATTGATCTTGACAATAGATGCTGACAGGGTCCTTGGGAGTGTGAGGGCCACCCTTTGTACTCTGGACTCATGCCCATCCTGGCTTTTAAAATGTTGCTGGGGAAAGGTATTGGAGTCATTAGTGAAAACTGTCATTTCCTCTCTGATTGAGGGGGCTCTCCCTAGGCCTTTGAAGGAGGTAGTTATTAGAGCTTTGTTCAAATAACCTTCATTGGCTAGTGATGAGGTGGCCAGTTACAGGTCAATCTCCAATTTACCTTTTCTAAGGAAGGTCATAGAGTGTGTGGTGACAGAGCAGCTCCAGGGTTTTCTGGATGACACATCTGTCCTTGACCCATTTATGTGGTTTCAGCCTGCATTTGGTACTGAGACGGCTTTAGTTGCCCTAGTGGGCAATCTTTGTATAAAGTTGGACAGGGGACAGTCTTCCCTGTTGATACTGTCAGTCCTTTCAGTGGCCATTGATACATTCGACCACTCCAGTCAATTTGGTGTAGTGGTTAAGTGTGCGGACTCTAATCTGGGAGAACCGGGTGTGATCCCCCACTCCTCCACTTGCACCTGCTGATGTGACCTTGGGTCAGTCACAAGCTCTGGCACAGCTGTCCTTGAAAAAGAGCAGTTTGTGTCAGAGTTCTCTCAGCCCCACCCACCTCACAGGGTGTCTGTTGTGGGGAGGGGAAGGGAAAGGAGTTTGTAAGCCGCTCTGAGACACCTTTGGGTAGTGAAGGGCAGGGAATAAATCCAATCTCTTCTTCTCTTCCATTCTCATCCACTGGCTTGAATATGGAGTTAGTATTAAGGATGTAATCCTTCAGTGGTTTCACTGTTTTCTGTCTGACTAGACTCAAATAGTATTTATCAGAGGTGCAGAATCAACTGGGTGAGGTTTTCCAGAGCTTTGGAGTTGGGTGTCCACAATATGCAGATGATACCCAGCTCTGCATTTCATTATCCAAGCCTCCAGATGCATCCATCTTGGCTCTGAACTGATGCTTTGAAGTAGAGGTCAGGTGGCTAAGGCAGAACAAACTGAAGCTGAATCCAGAAATCCCAATGATAATGCAAGCTGAGAAGGCTGATATTCTAGAGATACTGAATCCACTTGTCCTAGATGGAGTGGAGCTGGCTTTTTGAGAGCAGGGTAAGAGCTTGGGGGGGCTCATGGACCCCGCCTTGCAGTTTGAAAAGCAAATTGGCATGATGACCAGGAGCGCCTTCGATCAGCTGCATCTGATTTGCTGATTGTTCCATTACCTAGACTTAGTAAATCTGGCCACGCTGATCCTTGTGTCTGTAAATTCACAGTTGATTTACTGCAATGCACTATATGTGGGGCTGCCATTTAAGACAACCCAGAAACTACAACTGGTCCAGACATATGGCTATGAAGTAACATCACCACTATGCCAGATAAATTCACTATATGATTTGGAGTTGTGCAGGCACAGTGGCAATCGTGTTCTTAAGATGTACTGTCTCGATTGTTTTATAAGATTGTTATGCACAATACAGTTAACTGAGACTATAGCCCTGCTGATCATAGTAGGGCTGACCTCCAAATAGTCATGTATAGTACTGGACAGCAGGGTTTCAGTAGCTGGGGGGGGAAACAGGCAAGGTTGTTCAACATACAAGGCTCACTACATTTTACCTTGGCTCAAAGCTGATCGCAATATGAGAATGCAGTTTATGCTTCAGTATATGTAAGAGAGACTCCTTAAACAGAGAAGATATATTGTGGACAAGAAGGCAGAACAGGCCTCACCAGAGAGCGCATATGCCATTAGCTCTTGAAGGGACCACCAGCAACCTGAAAGAGTCCAGCTGTGGGGCAACTCCTCCCCCTTCTTTCCAGGAACTAATAAAATCCTGTGGAGACAGCAAGAGAAAAGGTCAAATAGGGAGCTCATACCATGAGTTCCTGAAGAGACCACCAAATGTATGCTGTTTGTAACTTAAAGCATTAAAAGCAAAGCTAGATAAGCGGTATGTACATGGAGTCAACAAATAAGGTAGTACCATGTAGTACTGGTAATTTTGTTCTATTTCTGTATTCTGAGACATTTGACTGGGCCAAACCTTGACTAAAATTTGCCTTTTCAAACAATTACATCTCTTGTGTACTGCCAAGTGCAATACTTGAGCAAGAGCTCCATAAGAGTCCTTGTTGCTCTGGAACTTGGAGCAAATGGAATTTGTATTCAGTTGAACAAATCTAATGTTACTCTCCCACACCTAATCAGCCGCAACATTCTTACAGCTGTTTCTTGCATGCAAACTGTTCTGTTTCTCATATAATATTATTGCATGTCAGCACACTTTTACCTCTCTTGTGTACTGCTACAACAATGCTGGTTTGACTGTTCACATGTTCTTCTTCTTTATTCACAGGTCAGCTTGCAAGGATGAATACCCCATCCTTGTATCACTCTCCTCTGAAGTAAGTATTATTCTAGGATTGTGGTGTATTATTCATTGTACCAGCAGGCCACTTGGAGGAGAGGGGAGAAGTGCATGCAAAAGACAGCACCAACCCAACTCCCAAAGTAGACTGTTGGCAAACCCAGATGTCTGACCTCTCTGTTGCCCTCCCTTGTGCAACCTAAGACTAGGGTAGTGCATCAGCAAAATGAGCGTTCCTATTGGTCTGTCTTCCCTGATGCCTTCTTGCTGGGGTAGGTGAGGAATACATAAGCTTAGATGACAGGAGGTTCTACCTATGTTCTTCTGTAGGCTGAGACCAGCAAAAAGAGGATTCTTACTCTTGTGCTCGCATTTCCCTCCATCTGGAGTATTTCCAGTAGAGAGGAGAAGCAAAGAGAGAGAAGGTTGGCAGCTGGGGAACAGATGACCCTTACAGTCCAGATTAAACCTCCATACTTCTAGTTGGTACTTCTAGTCCAGAAGAATTATATGAACAAAATTTTGGCTCCCTGGTAATTTACCATCTAGAATGTGCAGGTGACGTGATCCACAGTGCTTAGTTAATGCATAATGTAGCAAATGGCAATCACGTATACATCTCACAAAGGCAGACTCTATTATTTTGTTGCTTTTTATTCATGCACCGTATTTTAAAACATTTGTAATTTGCTACTCGTTATACATGATGAAAAACAAAGCAAGTTAATGAAACTAGAGCCGAAATAGTAATCCCATCCACCTTTATAAGTTGTTTCCTTTTTTTAAACACTCACAGTGGCTCACGAATAAGATGAAGAAGCTATCATAGTTATTAAAATAAAGATGTAAAATATTGGCAGGATAAAAATTTAGGAGCAGAGTTTAAAGGACGTCATTTTGATATACGTAATTTTGAAATACTTCCTGAAATAAGTAAATCTTCAACTGGCATCAGAATGCCTGTAATAAAAAAGCGAGGCCCAGTTCCTGGGGTGGCTTCAGAGAAAGCCCTTGTGCGCCCCCCCCCCCAAGCCGTGCCTCTGTAATTGTGGGCTCATGCAGATGAGCTTCCGTGGCCAATCCCACAGTACAGGCTGGTATATACAGTTGGAGGCCATCCTTTGCATGTTTATTTATTTAAAATATTTCTATGCCGCCTTTTCACCAGTGGTAAACATCAAAACATTTCAACATTAAAACATTAATACATTAAAACAGCATTTAAAACAGAGTATATATAAAATATTTCAACTGTTCAATAAAAACATATAAACACACAACACAGAGAACAAAACCAAGAAGGAGGGCCAATAACAGTTATTAGGGTATGCCATAAACAAAAACAAAAAAGTCTTCACCCGCCACGGAGAACAACGGAGAGATCCCTGGGGAAGAGTTCCAAAGTTTTGTCACCACAACCAAGAAGACCCTTTCTTAGGCTGGCACTGGCCTAGCCTCAGCAGGTATAGGCCCCCAAAGCAAGGCCTCCAAAGATGACGTTATTGGATGGGTATGTTCATCTGCTGGCCTCAAAGCATATAAGGTTTTAGCAGTTAATGCCAGCACCTTGAACTGGGCATGGAAGCAAGTTGGGGGGGGCAGTGTAGAAGGAGCTTTGCACCCAAACTGTTTAGAACTTTAACAGCAAAAAAACAGTACTTTGTACTGAGCTTGAAGCAAACTAGGAGACAAAGTAGTTGGTATAAAATACCTGTTATATGCTCACTGCAGAGGATCACAGTTTAACATTCTCACTGCTTTGTTTCCAAACTATGGAAGGTTTCCAGTCCAAAAGCAACCGCACACAGAGCATATCCATACAACAGCAATAATAAAGCTGCCCCCTGTTGCTTTTCAAAGTATTATTGTGCAAACAATATTTGCTTCCAAGGTAGACTTCAATATCATAATTTAATATCGATAATAAGGTTTATAATAATCCAGGCATAGCATAGGACTAAAATCAAGGAAGTCTATATTTGTAGGTTCACTATCTAAAAACCTTCTTAAGGTTGTGAGCTTCAGCTATGTGTGTAAGACAATAAAAGAGTAGCTAAGCTGTTCTTCTAACCTAGGGATTCACTTGTTTTTGTGGTGAACCTCTGCCCCAGTTTACGCAAGAGCTGAAACTATATGCATCATCCCCTAGGTCTGAGAAGTCAAAGATCATGGTGCTGACTATTATTCTTTATGCTGTTTGGGTGTATCACTATAGAAACTATCCATGCCTTCACATAACTAAAAAAGCTGCGCAGCTCAAAATGTTGGTATATTTCATCCACATTTCTCTCCATATTTTTATATAGACAGACAGTAATTCCCTGAACATGCTACCATAAGTGCTAAGAGCCTGTCCCTGTTAGGTCAGGTGGAAAACTGTGGACAGAGGGCATTGCTTTTACCAAGTGGCTTATCTTGAGGGCTTGTATAAAAATGTTTCTAGAGGATGCCAGTTTATATTTAATGTATATCAATATATCTAATTCCCAATGTGGCTAGATCTGTAGACTTAAATCCAGATAATGGAACCATGAACAGACAAGACAGCTCTTTCTACAACCTGACAAAAGCTCTGAGTTTACAGAAATATCTGAAATCTTAAAAAAAAATGAACTGGGGTTTTTCAAGGCCTGGAAAATAAAACAAGCAGTGCATATAGCTTTAAGAAACTCAGCAGCCATTGTGGGGATTACTAGGCAACCACAACAGTATTGTCAGCTTTCAGCTCTTGCAAAGGCAGGGAAAGGGCCTTTGCGGGAAGACTCATTGAGGCCAGGCCTGGCACCAGCCACCAGGCAACTTGATAGCAAGCAATATGCATGACTCGCCCAGGACTAGCTGCTTGCTACTATTCAATGTCAGCCACCCCATGAAAGCCAGTGTGCTGTGATGGTTAGAGTTTCAGACTAGAATTTGGGAAACCCAGGTTCAAATTACCACTCTATTCTGAAAGCTCACTGCGTGACTATGAGCCTGTTACATATTTTCAGCCTAAACTAGGGTTGCCAGGTCCCCTTGGTTTGCTGGTGGGGGGGATTTGGGGGGTGTTCTAGGAGTGGATGGAGACATTGTGTGATGTCCCTGATGCAGTGACGTCATGCAAAATTGACATTATCGCATCGGGGACGTTGCATGGCAACACTCTGCATTTGGGGCAAAACTCTATGGGTTTTTTGGCCTAAAACCATAGAGTTTTGCCCAAAACGCAGAGTACTGTTGTGTGACATCCCCATGTGATGACATCACTTCCACATGGGGCTGCCAAGTGGGGGCGGGTGGCGGGTAAACCCCCGCTTTGGAGGCCCAATTTCCGACGCCGCGGAATCGGGCCCCGGGGGGAACCCCACCCCTGCGTGCGCGTCACCAGGAAGTGACGTGAGCATGCCGGGCCCGCTGGGGGCGGGGCCATGGCCATATAAGGGAAAACTGTATGAAATGGCAAATAGATTCCGGAAGGGAACCGGTTCTCAAACGGGTTCTGTCTGAAATGACAGACCAGAACCCGTTTGAGAACCAGTTCCCTTCCGGAATCTATCGCCTGTCTGAAATTTCCCAAAGAGATACATACACAGTTGTACTCCCTTCCCATTTAAGTCACCAGTGAAGCCTCTACATACAGGAACTCCATCCATGCTGTGATGCATATGGGGGTATGATGTCACTTTAAAATACATTTTATTGCAGTGTATGCTGATATGCTTTGCATTGTGTCCATGTATATTACAACAGTGACTGTCATCACATTTCTTTTAAACATTTCTCAGCGAGCAAGCAGCTGCAATCAAACAGACAATGGAGGCTACGTGAGAACTAACAAGGAGGAGAGCTGTACTCTAGCTGCTGACAGAGAGAGCTTGCCTGCCAACTTCACAGAAGAAGCGCAACAACAAGCGCAGCACCTCTGACATCAGATAAACCAACTCGTTTTGAAGACTGTAGCACATTACTTTTGTTCTACAAGTTGTAGTTTGTAAGTGTTTGTTTTGAAGAAAAAAAAGACATTTTATTTAAAGCTAACGTATAGCAGCTACATCTTATGTAACATGGCTCATTACTGGTGAAGAACACAGGCTGACAAAAAAAGTTGCTGTTACATTTAACAGCAGTATTAGCAAAATACTCAAGCCCTTTGCACATAACGTTGAACCTGTTCAGTTTACAATGACAATATTAATGCTGTTTATAGTAGGCATTTGATTTCTGAATAGTTTGAGATTTTAGAACACTTTCATATACACTGTACATTGTTTTTCCACAGCGGAAATTTTAAAAGCTACAATGACACATTTAACACTGAATGAATATACTCCTGAGTGTATATATTTATAGCCCCAAAGCTAAGTACCTGACTATAGTTGCAGTCTGGCACCCAGTTCCATGTACTTAAAGACCATCAATGTTGGTGGGACTAGAGTTCATAACCAGGTACAGGATGGCAGCCTTAGATTGCAGTTTGTTTTACAGTCTTTCTGCAAAAAAAGAGAGAAAGACTTGTACAAAATGCACTAAGAGTATCTCTATGATTTAGGGCTACTACATAACTTAGGAATGTTGTTTTCTTTTTTGACGTAACCTAACAAATCAGCCATACAAGTTAGTGTAAATATTTTCTTTCCAAATAGATATCATATACAAAAGGCAACATTCAGATAATATAGAATCTAGTTTTTAAAATCAGCACAGATCTTCTTAAAACTGTGAACTATGTTTTGAAATACTCGTTGCTAAAGCTGTTTATAAACCACAGGTGCCATAAAATCCCTAAACTGACTCACGTTATGTATAATCTTCCATGGTATTGTTTTATTGCTGTTTTAGAGCTTTAGTAAGCATGTGTTCTTTCACTTTTCTCCATTCTTCATATACTGTTTGTTGAGGCCTTCAGCTTTAAATGTACAGGCTTTAAAAGTGCGCTTGCAACTATTACCTTTTATTTCTGAATGTGCATTGCCTTAGCCAGCCACCAGGTGTTCTGCATGCATTCTTGGAAATGTGTAGTGAGACTTTCTTTCACGCTGAATGGGGATTTAGCTATCTATGAAAAGCACAGGGGAGAAGTGTGTCCATTTAAAAAAAGAAAGAATTACAGAGGTGTTCCTTTGAGTAACATCCTCTTTTAACTATGATGGGGGAAGACAGAGAAAGAGAGTGGGCTTTTTGGTCTATTGGGGTTATAAAAAGGGAAAAAATGTTGTAGTGAGGTTACTCAACCATTGCTATACTGTGAATTAGCTAGTAACATCTCTCACCAAATCTCTTTTAGCTAGGAACAAAACAGAAAGTAATCAAGAAATTGCCAGGGACCCATTAAAATACTTCATTCACAGTGCAAGTATCTGAATTTCAGGCATCAGTTTAGAACAGGTTCTGCAGTTTAACAGAAGCAGTATAGAAAGTGTGCCGTTATGAACAAATATATTTGACTTCAATTAAGCTGGTCCCAAAGAGTTTGCATATCATTTGTCTGAATGAGAAGTTTACCCTTTCTGCTGATTCTACTGGTGAAGAGCACCACAAAAAAAGCTTATATGGATTCAGTGGTTACTGCTAATTTTGTACATATATGCACAAAATCATTTGCTACTATTGGGCATCTTCCTCCTTGTGTATGTTTCAACATTGTCTCCAAGGGATCAAAAGCATGCAGTTCAGACAAGTGCAGAAAATAAAATATGTTTCCATGGAGACACCTCCCACTGCACCTTTGCAATAACTAATCTTTACTGTTGTGATATCTGCCAGCCTGACAAGGTAGGCACTATACATAGCCTGTGACAGCTTACCTCTCCTACACCCTTCTCTCAGGAACCAGTTACTCTCTACTAGTGCCTAGCACTCAGCAAATAACACTTACTACAGTATATTGGCAAACGTTGCTGACAGCTCAGGACTCCAGTCAGGCATATCCTGAAGAGAGACAAAACGGACAAAACCACAGTACATCTGAATGACCAAATCTAGCCACAAAACTAAATGTGGAGTAATAACCATGTTGCTTTAACACCAACATTTGTTTACATGCCGACACTGCATCTAGGGCCCATGCCTTAGTCTAGCCATTGCCAGAGCTGTGTAGCACTATTATTGATGGAACATCTCCACCAGACAACTCATGCATCATTCCCTCCCGCCTCATTTTGGCTCTAGATCCCAAGCAGAGCTCTAGGTGGCCTCAAATTCTGGAACTCCCAGATGAAGCACTTTTTTTTATTTGTCTCTCCTGAAACAAAATGTAGGCTTACCACATCATCCATCTGCTAAGCTGGTTATGAAACTCAGTAAGGCTCATGCTCTTCCCCAATCTCTCTGCTGTGCATAGTGGAGGGAAAGGGAACGTGCCTCTTTTCTCCCTGCCTGCCTGACATGACTGCCCCACCTCTGAAGCTAGTAATCCATGCATGGATATAATGTTTGAATGGGGTTGTATGCCTAGAAAAGTGTATGCACACAGGCACAGGTCACGTGGTCACTTCCCGGATTTTATCTCAGGCAGCAGCCATGTTGTTCAGACCTGTGCAAGTGGGATCTTATGGGCCTGTACCCTATACAAACAGTACCCAATATGTGGCTGTTCAGTGGGGACATGGTAGACAGGACACACATAGGAGAGAGAGATCAGGGAAGTGCATACTGCAAACTGGATCTGTGTTTTAACCCACTTAGTCCTTGTTTGTTTGTTAAAATGTGTTGAATTGTGTGGACACTGAAGTTATAGAACTGGTTGAATTGGCCTTTTGTGTGTCTTTATGGCCAGCAACTGCAGCCAAAAACTCTTTGTGGATTGTCAGTGGAAAGGTAGTTAAGGGGAAGAATCAGAATGTGAAGGGGAATAGGGTTCTTGAATGTGGAAAGGAATGATGGAGAATGGATTCTCTGTAAGTAGTAATGTTAACTAAAAACTGCATTAAAAGGTGTGTGGCCTTTGTTGTGATAATATGTATTTTCTTATATGCATGAGAAAAAATGTTGCATCATTATTTAGCACAGATGTTTGCCTTTACTTTAATCATCTTCTTCCATCCTTATTCGTTTCTTGAAATTGCTGTAGATATATCTTGTAAATACTGCAGCCTCAGGTTGCTACAGTTACATTGGTTCAATTCAGTGCAAGGAGCCTCGAACGACAAGCGCTTCGCTGTGTCCAGAGAAGAGAGGGCATTTTTACTTGTGAACCAAAAATGTATGAAGAGTTACATCTTGAAGCTACTAACTGTTTGACATTTTTAACTACTGTTATTTCACACCAGTCCGGACAGACACACAATAAAAATTTCACAATATTCATTGGTATTGTAAACGGAACTATTATTGTATGGGGTTTTTTGTATTGCCGTTAAGTATTGTTTTGTGTGTGTGTGTGTGCGTGTGTTCAAGCCAACTGGGGACATGTTATATTTTGAAGTGATTAAACTATTTAATTGTGTGTCTATATTTTGGAATGGAATTATTTCTTCATTAAAAAAGATTTTTAAAAGTAATTCATCAGTGCTGTCTTGCTGTCATTTCCATTGATTTAAGGACCACTTTTCTGGCATCAGGAGAAGTCTTCTTCAGGCTCATTTATTTATTTATTTATTCAATGTTGCACCTTTCTCATTGAGACTCAAGGCAGATTACTAAACTCAAGGCAGATTGGGGCCAAGGTGCCTGAAGGACTGTCTTCTCCCATACTATCCAGGCTGCCAGTTAACATATTCCTCGCTAACTCTGTTCTCTGTGATCCCACCTTCAGAGGAAAGACATGTGGTGACTAGAGACAGGGCACTTTTCTGTGTTGGCATCTCAGCTTTAGAATGCTTCCCCCCTCAAGACTCACCTGGTACCTGCTTTACTTTCTTTAAGGCATCAGGCCTTAGCACATCTTTTTACCCAGGCTTTTAACTTGGGGAGTTTATCTTACCAACTTTTTAATGGTATATATCTTTATCCTGGCATGACACTCAGAAGTTAAGAAAGCAAAGCAGCATTATCCATCATGGTCCCTCTAGGCCAAGAACTTGTTGAATTTGTGAGCCACAGAGCTCTTCTAGTTGAAGGCACAACGGTGTTACCAGAAAAGGCGAAGGCCATAATTAGTAAGATTAGTAGTAGTATTATATGGACTCTACGCATCATGGCGCTAACTTTGGACATACTTCCAATTAGGGTTGCCAATCTCCAGGTAAGGCCTGCAGATCTCTCAAAATCACTACTCATCTCCAGATTAGTTTCCCTGGAGAAAATGTCTGCTTTGGAGGATGGATGCTCTGGCATTATCCCCTGCTGAGGTCCATCCCCTCCTTAAACCTTACACTCCTAGGCTCCACCTCCAAATCTCTAGAAATCTCCCAACCCAGAGTTGGCAATCATACTTCTGATCAATAACAAGAAGAAGAAGAAGGGAGAGAGAGGATTTATATCCCACCTTTCACTACTGAGGCATAAATCTGTGCCTCGTGTGCCAGAGAGAACGCACGGTTGGAGGAACGCACGGTTGGAGTCCAGTAACACCAAGCTGTATTCTGCCCCAACCAGGAAGGGCAGTAGATCTTATATCCCACATGACCTCTTAACAGTTTACACAGAAAGAAATCCTTAATTGGTGTTTGACAGGTATCATCATCAGAGCATCACTTGAGCTGGCACCTCTCTATTGGCAAACCCCTATGGGGATCTTAAGTGTCAGTAATTGTGTCTGTTTATCTGGTCCCAGAACAGTGGAAAACATCAATGGACAGAAGGGCCTTCTTTTGGCATCATTCCTGGCTTATTTGCTTCAGCCTGAAACTAGGGAGTTTCCTGATAAGATGCACAAAACTTAGCTCTTGGCAGACCTTCTGGGGCCAGATGCTCTGCTCTACACAGAAAGATATTTGTTTTGAAAACACTCAAAGTCTTTTAATCTCATAGCTTCTCAGATGTCCATCAACTGGAGACCTTATAATTTCAAATGTACATTCCATTCCATTATCTTCTGACTCTAAGGAAAAGACCTTTAGCTAGAAGTGGACGCCATTACCCAAAAGGTGAAGAAGAAAGTACAAAAACTGGAAAAGAAGCAAGTTTCTACAGAAGAGCAGTTGCTACAATTACAAATGGAAAAGGCTAATATGATCCTTCGCTTTCAGGACATGCCAGAGACTAAGGGAGAGAATCTGAAGGAAATGATGAGTGAAATACTGGCCCCAGTGACAGAGATGATGGCGGAATCTTTGCTAAGCGAAATGGATGTGGCCTATAGGTCATATTCAGGATACATAAAGAAAAATAATCTGCATGGGGAAATTGTCGTAAGATTCTCAAAGAGACATGTAAGGGATGCAATCCTGAAAGCAGTATCTGGAGCACCCCTGAGAGCTGGGGAGAGTGTTATCAGAGTACTGAAGGATATTCCATTTGAAATAAGACAGCGGAGAAAGAAATATAAAAACTTTGTTCTTTTTCTTCAAACGAATTCAATTGGATATAGATGGCTAATTCCAGAAGGCATCACCTTCAAAATCAAGGATAAAAAAGAAAAGATTGACTCTGTTCTGAAAGCGAGAGAATTTTTAAGAGTCCAGCTGGGAGGGCCAGAGGAGGAAGAAAGAGAAGGGGACAGCAAGTCCAGTGGCGAGCTGGACTTGGGTTCTTTCAGAGAGGACTCTCTGTCAGAGAAAGGGGCAGCAGCTCCTAAAAGTCCTTATAAGAGACTGGACAAGAACAAGTGAAGGTGGAAGGACTCTGAATTGTGCCTTTGGAAAATTTTGAATGAGATGCTTTGGGGTATTTCCTTATATCAGTTAAATTTAAGATTTGGGGAAAGTTAACAGAATATGTGACTCAGTTTGTAATGAGATTAATATGATTAAGACTAGATGTGTATTCAAGCTGATTAGAAGATCTCCTCTCTTGGGTTTTTAGTCAGTAGTGGGTATCTTTTCTTTATCCCCTAAATGTAGTCCCCTCCCTTATTTCTGTTATAGTTTGTAGTTTTAACAAAAATGTAATAAAAAATTCCCCATTGGGGAGCAAAAAGAAAAAGAAAAGACCTTTAGCCATTAAAACAATACTCTATTAATCCTACTCTACAGCTCTTCTGTCTTTTAAATATTAAAATCTAAATTCACTTAAATCAGACTCCTAATAAGGCACAGTGACAGCTGTCATTCTACATGTTGAGAAATAGCAAAAATCACAATCATAAATCACATTCACTGGTCCTTTGTCCTACACTACCTGAAGGAGTCTCAGAGCAGTTTACAATCTCCTTTCCCTCCCCCTCCCCACAACAGACACCCTGTGAGGTAGGTGGGGCCGAGAGAGCTCTAAGAGAACTGCTTGTGAGAAAACAGCTTTGAAAGAACTTGTAACTGACCCAAGGTCACACCAGCAGCTGCATGTGAAAGAGTAGGGAATTAAACCCGGTTCTCCCAGATAAGAGTCCGCACTCTTAACCACTACACCAAACTGTGCTCCTAATCACTACACCAAACTTTGGCCATTTAACCTCTTATCTAAAACAAAAGTGCAATTAATTTCTCATATGTCACTAATAAACTTTAAACAGGTGATATAAAAGTTCAGGCACTGACTGACCCATGGTCCCTTCCATGAACACAACTTCCTAACTCTGGGAGGCTGTCAATGGGAATGGAAATAAGGAGCACCAAATTCCCAAGTCCAGAGCAGCAAAGGAGGGGCAGGGAAGAGACTGGAGAGTAGTAAATGTTATACTAATTTTTTAAAAGTCCATTAGGCAACTAAAAATTACAGGTTAGTTTGCCCAATGCCAGTCCTAGGAAAATTAGTAGAAACTGCAATCAAATATAGAATTATTAGATACATAGAGGAACAAAGCCTGCTGAGGGAAAATTAACTCGACTTCTGCAAAAAGAAGTCCTGCTTCACCAAACTTTTGGTGTTCTTTGAGAAAGTGAATAAATATGTAAATTATGGTAACCTGGCAGACATTGTATACTTGGACTTTCAAAAGGCTTTTAACAAGGTACTTTACCAAAGAGTCCTGAGTAAGCTTAGCAGTCATGGGATAAGTGGATATGTCTTCTTATGGATTAAAAACTGGCAGCATGACAGGAAGCAGAGAGTAGGAATAAGTCAACCATTCTCTTAGTGGAGGGAAGTAAGCAGCTGGGTCTCATAAGGATCAGCACTGGGATGGGTAGTATTTAATTTGTTCCTATATGATCTGGAACTGGGGGGGTGAGCTATGTAGTGGCCAAGGTTGCAGACAATACAAAAGTATTCAAAAACCAAGGCTGACTGTGAAGAGCTCCAGGAGGATCTCCACAAATTGTGTGAATGTGCAACAATGTGGCAAAGGAAGTCAAGTGTAGGTAAGCGTAAGGTGATGCAAACTGGAACAAAAAAAATCCCAAATTCATTAATATGTTAAATGGTCTAAATGTGTTAAGACCAAGAAAAAAAGTTGGTTTTTATATTTTGCTTTTCTCTACTTCAAGGAGTCTCAAAGCAACTTACAATTGCCTTCCCTTCCTCTCCCCACAACAGTTACCTTGTGAGGTAGGTGGGGAAAGAGAGTTCTGAGAGAACTGTGACTGGCCCAAAGACACTGTCAGCAAGCTGCCAATATGTTTCCCTGTACTCTGTGTATGCTCTTATGTTTCACTATGCTCTGTGTGTATTCGTCTGTGTCCTTATTCTTTGGATATGCGCTTGTTGGCATTCACTTTCCCATGTATGCCTGTTTATATGCTTAATTGCCTAGTTGCAGGAACGTCCGTATCTCTCAAGGCCACAGGTGGTTGCTGGTGGGTAGTAGCTTGGGTGATCTCATGGCTTTATCCATGAGAAGCAGTATGTTATGATTAAGCAGGAACGTTGCTTCCCAGGCTCAATGGCGCGCGCGGGAAGTCCCGTAATTGGGCCTCAGCTTTTTGAATTAACTATAATCTATTGGGATCCATGCTTATGCCTCATTCTGAACAGTGATCCTGTTATGCACCTATTGCTTCAAATAAAAGCAAAACCTTTTCTACAAGTGTGTGCTTCGTTGATGCGATGGGAGTCTGACAGTCGCTTCATGTGGAGGAGGAGTGGGGAATCAAACCTGGTTCTCCAGATTAGAGTTCACTGCTCCTAACCACTACACCACACTGGCTCTCCAAGAAGGAAAAGAGACCTCAGGGTTATATTGGATAGCTCAATGAAAATGTCAAGCCAGCAGCTGGGGATTATTAGGAAGGTGACTGAAAACAAAACATCCAATGCACCTGCATAGATCTATATTGCAGCCTAATTTGAAATACTGTGTGCAGTTCTGGTCTCTATATGACAAAAAGGACATTGCAGAGCTGTAAAAAGTACAGAAGATGATAACCAAGATGATTAAGGGGTTGGAGCCTTTGGAGAAAAACCTGAAGAGTCTGGGACTTTTTAGT